AGGCGCGGGCCTTCTCTATAGATGTAAGGCCGGCGCCTTCTAAGAAGCAGACTCGGGGAAACAAGAAGTGACATAAACATAAAAGCTCGGAGCTCCGCGCGGATTTCTCGGGTCGGCGCCGGGCCCCCCTGGCGGCGCCTCCGGCGCCGCCCGTGGCCGCGCTCCCGCGCGCCAGGGAGGGGGGGTCCAGCGCCGATCCGAGGAATCCCGCGCGGACCTCTGAGTTTGTATGCTTATGCCACTTGTTGTTCCCCTCATGACGTCGGGGGTCTGGGGGTGTGGTGAGTCAGTGGTTTTGGGACTCGGGTCGCCCTCCGAGGGCGTCTCCGCCGACGGGGGCCTCCGAGGCCCCCATAATTACCGTGCAGTGACGGGCCGTGCGGTGAGCTCTTCGGGGATTCCGCGGTCACCGCCCTGTTTTTCGGGACACCCAGGCAGACGGACGAGGATGAGCAGATGTGTGACTCCTTCCCATCTGATTGCGTTCTCGTGAGGTGCGAGTGCTTGCAAGGCAGCTCTGCCCGTGGGCTCCTCACACACGAGAGAAGGAACATGTATGGAGTGTGTCCCGTCCAGGGGGGTCGCCTCTACACCAGGCTTCCTCGATGATGGCAAGTGATGCCGACGACGAAGACGGCTCATTTTCTAACATGACCACGATGACGATGATGGCTGGCGATGGTTAGTTGACAACGATGACGACGATGATCTTGATGGCATGGAGGAGTATGAGTGTCTAGGGACTTGGGAGGGTGAGGAGGGGAGAGAGGGAGGGGGGAGGGAAGGTGGAGGCCGGATGGACACGGTGGAGTAGGAGGAGGAGGAGGGAGGGCGGAACCACTCACATTAGGCAAAACCGTGGATGCTCTGAAGACAATGATGATGACGATGATGATGTTGATGATGATGATGATGATGATGATGATGATGATGATGATGATGATGCTGATGATGATGATGATGATGATGATGATGATAAGGATGATGATACTGATGATGATGCTGATGATTATGCTGATGCTGATGCTGATGCTGATGATGATAATGATGATGAGGATGAGGTTGAGGAGGATGAGGGTGAGGATGGTGATGATGCTGATGATGCTGAGGATGATGGGTGATGATGACGATGATGATGATGATGATGATGATGATGATGATGATGATGATGATGATGATGATGATGATGATGATGATGATGATGATGATGATGATGATGATGATGATGATATGATGATGATGATTATCTGCTGCTGATGATATGACGATGACGATGAACGATGAACGATGACGATGACGATGACGATGATGATGATGATGATGATGATGATGATGATGATGATGATGATGCTGATGATGATGATGATGATGATGATGATGATGATGATGATGATGATGATGATGATGATGATGATGATGATGATGGTGGTGATGGTAGTGGTGATGGTGGTGATGGTGGTGGTGGTGGTGGTAGTGGTGATGATAGTGATGATGATGGTGATGGTGATGGTGATATGAGAGAGCGTGATCCACCGCCGCTTTGCCGCCCGCCCGAGCGGCCGCGGGCTCGCCGCCGCGCCCGTCGAACGGCCACCCCGAGCGGCGACCCCCCGAGCGCGCCGCGGGCGGCCGCGGCGTCCCGCGCGCCGCCGCCCGTCGGGGCGCGCCGCGCCGCCGCGCGGAGCCCGCGGCCGCGTGGCCCGCGTTGGGGCGGCTGCGGCCGCCCGCCGCCCGCCATGCAATGGCTCGAGGCGGCGGCGGCCGAGGCCGCAGGCCCCGGCGTGGCGGCGGGCGAGGAGGCGAAGGCTCGCGGGCGGGGGGGGGGTGTCGGAGGGGGAAGGGGGTCGGAGTGAGGGGGTGGGCGGAGGGGGCAGCGGGGAGGGGGGGTCGGAAGGGGGAGCGGGGGGGATGGGGAGGAGGAGGGGATGGAGGAGGAGGAGAGGAGGGGAGGAGGAGGAGGAGGAGGAGGAGGAGTTAGAACATGGCCATGCGACTGGGTGATCGTAGTCGATGTCGCCGCTGTCGCCGCTGTCGTCGCTGTTGTCGTCGTCGATGTCGTCGTCGTTGTCGTCGTCGTCGTCGTCGTCGTCGTCGTCGTCGTCGTCGTCGTCGTCGTCGTGGTGGTGATTGTCGTTGTGGTCGTGGTCAGGGTCGTCGTTTGTCGTCGTCGTGGTCGTCGTCGTCGGCCACAAAG